GTAAGTAGGAAGAAAGGAGACTAGCTATTCACATGAAGTAGCATTAAACAAATTAAAACCAAATTATCAGGGTCCCACGTCCTGCACAACTCAGCTCCTGTGGCCCAAACCAAATTCTCTGTTTCCAATACGTCCTTTAAAAAAGGAGACAGCAAGTAGAGATTGAAGGGAACCAACACTGCTCTTGGGGAGACGTTTAAAACTCTTCCAGATTTAGGTCAAGGGATGGAGTCTCTAGTCTGTATTCCTATCCTGCAAAGATACCTGTCTGTTCGATACCGGTTCAGTCTCCTTCGCATTTCTTCTTAGGTTCACCCTTTCCTCTTTAATGTAAAGTATTCGTGTAGAGTCAAAAAAGATATATAATAAAATTTATCGTATTTTAAAAAAAAAAAAAGAGTAGAGATGGAAGGGGATGCTGAATTGGGGCTGATGATTTTGTAATCTTTCTGAGCAGGGGTGGGAAGGGTCGTAGGTTCAGACCCACCCCAGCTGATAGGTCCCAATCCCTGCAAATAGAGACACTCACTGAGACAGATAGCCTCATTAACAGTTCCCAACCCCGATTGGCTTGCTTTGCTGCCATGGATCCTACTTCTCATTTTCTCTCCACGACACGTTTATGTTCTACGAATATACAACAACAATACTGGACAGAATTTATGTCCTTCAAATATCATCATATGCCCTTGAGGACAAATGATACTATATCCACAGCACCTGTTTTTATTTCCTCACAAATATCTACTATCAAATACTATAATAATTTATTTATGTCCTTCAATAGTCAATACTGAATACACTTGAAAAAGTCACTGGCCATTTGGTTCAGTGGTCATCACCATATTGGTAAATGCTGGAGGTCAGGGTTCAACTCCTGCCTCTCACAAATTTGCCACAATATGTGGCTAGTCTTAGTGACCATCTCCCTTTACCCCTTCTCCTAGATTAGGCTAGATTAGTTATAGACATCTATCATTGCCACTATTGTATGACTGAGTAGGAGAATTAATAAACCTCGACTCCGAGTGTTTAATTCCTTAACAAGGATATAAAAATGCCAAACAAACAAAAAAAAAAAAAAAAAGGCAGTAGTATTTGACTAACCCAATCTCTAAAACCAACCTTCAAATATTCAATTGTAAATCAATAATCTTGTTACTTACATTTTTTAATAAAAAGTTAAAAAAAAACAATATAAGTGTTGGGCAAATTAGCAGTGAGGCATTTGTTCCAATTGTAGGTATGCTTCAGTAAATCTCTCTTTTCCTTCAACCAACAAGTCTGGAAAATAAACCAACTATGTAGAGGTAGTTGGCCACTGGGAAAAGGTTAAAGCTCTCCTTATGTGTAGGTTAAGGGATCAAGTTTCTTGAATTGCATTTTTCTCCAGTATTTTTTAGAAAAATTCATCAATAAATACAGAGACACTCGTCTAGTTCAGTGGCGATTCAATTCCCTTTAAATTCTCCATTGACCCTTTTGGTTGGATCCATCTCAATAGATGCTAAGATACTTGTCTAATCTAGTGACGATTTAATTTCCTCTAAATTCTCTATAGACTCCTTTAGTTGAATCCATCTCTTTTCTTTATCTTTAATGTAGAATAGAAGTAGACGTAAATAGAAATTCAGTGTCAAAAGGTCCGGAAAATAAAACTGTGGTGAATATATTGGGAGACATGGTACGGGTCTTAGTGCACATTGAATAGTCAAATCGATGGAGCTGTTCATGAAGACTCCATTATTGTAGACTGTGGAGCAAAGATTTTCCCCCAAACAAATGGAATGGCCACTTGACGTCTCTTTTTGCCCTCACATTGGTTTCGACTTCAAATCACTCTTTGATGATTGTGCATGTCAGAGGCCAATCTGCCACCCCATACGGCCATACGTTTGTTTCGATTCACCAATTATATCATACCACAACCAACCAAATGAGAATCTCCAATTCTCCACCACCCCCGACCCTCCCTTCCCGAAAAAGCCTTTTTCCTTATTGTAATTGCTAAATGGCAGACCCCAACAAGTTTACCACATTACTTTTTCTTAAATTTATATGTTTTTAGCATAACTTCATCCTCCTTTTCCTTTTCCTTTTCCTTTTCCATTTCATCATCATTTTTTAACATGTTTATTAATGATAATGCTCCCTAGGTAAATTAATTCTTCGGTCCTACTTACTTGAGGATGTAATCCATAATCCTGTAATGCTATATAGACCATTTGATTAACTTGAGGGCCCTTTTGTATTGATCACTAATTAAGTAATTAACCTAATCATATGGTAAACCAATCTTTCTTTCTTCTTTCTTCTTCTTCCTTTTTTTTTTTGCCCCTTCGGAACGATTACGATTACAATTATATCTTACTCGTTTCTTTTCTTTGAAATTCCAAAATCAAAAGTATTGGCGCTGCAAATTGTACGAGTTTCTTTAGAATATTAGCTAGTGGCCCATGATTCTGATTTGCAAATCTTATGGATTAGGCTTAGGAGCATAAATGAAGGGTACCTCAGCTTTATTCTTAAAAAGCCAGTGAACAACTTTTTCTTGAGAAAAAAGGACCAATGGCATAAACATTCAATTAACTGCTACTGTCAACAAAGAGAACATATGTTAGTACTCTAAAGAATGTTATCATCTTGGGTATCAAGCCATGCTTTAGCAAGGCAGGGACGAAAAGGGGATGCCCATTAAACTAACTAATAGTATATGACTAAAATATGCGAAGAAGGAATCTCAAGAGGTATAATAATGATGATGATGGTGAATGGTGATGGAGAGCAAAAGATTAGTATTACATAACTATAGGCTTTAATTTTGGAGGGTTCTCCTTTCCTTAATTCTTGACTACTTTTCCAAGCTCTTGGCCCTTCAATTAACCAACTAGCATTATTATGACAACAATTATTCAATGGCGATTTAGTAAAACGTAAGTAGTTAATACTACCTTTTCTTTTCTTTTCTTTTTTTCAATATCTGTCCTTGATTACAGTTGGAAATTATTCGTCGTCTTCTTGACATGTCCTGTTGTTGAATCCATGGTCCAGCACAAGCAGCCAGTAATCAGTACACCCCTTCATCAACTGACACCGGAACAAAATCCGGGATTTCATATCAAATCGGTTTTATCGTTGTTTCCTTGGATCATTTCCTACACTATTCTCTGCTGACACTGGATCCCTGTCTCTTGTTTTCTTTTTCTTTCATTTTTGTTTTTTGGCCACTTTCCCTTGTTTCACTTTTTTATTATGATTATTATTAATCTTTTTTCTAATGCTAATAGATGCTAGGTTCAAATTTAGAGTTGGTGAGTTGCAACGCCACACTGGAGATGATTAACACTGATCCATGGCAAGTGATTTGAATTTAATGAAAGATGAGATCCATAGCCTTTAAGTTAAGTTCAGGGCTTTTTGTGTTAGTGTTAGTTTGGGCATTTTACTATCTCATCCCCGTGTTCTATCTCAGCTTGTTTAAGTTTAGGATTACTTGAATTTGAGTTGAACTCGAGCGGTCTTACAAGTCGTGCTAGAGCTCTAGGCCAAATTAATGACTTTTATCTAGTCTTGTATTACAATTTACAAATTCATGTTGACACCAAATTTTAGCCCAATTCATGATTATGCACACTAGAAATCACTTTAAAGAAGTTTTAACACGAATAAATCGTGTGGGATTATAAGCATATGTTACAAAGAGCTTTAGAATTATGCAGCATCTGAATTTAGTCCCCAAGACGTAGTATTACAGAGAGCTTGGTGGATGGTTAGTGCTTGAAAAAACAATAAAGCAACCATAGACAGTAAAGGACAAAGCAAATTGACAAGGGAGATCTTGTAAAAAATGCAATGTACCATGCAGATGTCATTTCATTTCGTCAGTCCGCATTGCAGCATCAAGAAGACTAATTAACTACCTGGGATGTGAAAGAAAAAGAATCTATATTTGTTTTTCCAACTTTGAGATGATTGTATATCATATATGCGAATTATGTGATGCCTGCGCCTTGGTGGTCGCAGGTGCTTATACCTCAAATAGCAAAACTTCATCTAATCATGGCGATTTGAACCTTAAAAGCCATAATATCTTTCATTTCAACTACCTCGTGAAATGAATCCAATGTGGATGGATGAAAAGGATAATGACTAATCACACAAGATCACCTGGACGTTTTAAAAATCTAGGGAAACGAAAAAGAAACAAGAAAATATCTATTTTGGGGAAATCTAAATTATTCACTCAAAAATAGTGCAGACATAGAGTTGCTTATTAGTTGTAATTAAACCATTCAAATACGACACAAATACTGAGATGCGACAAAAACTACATGGCATTTGAAGTTAAATTTCTTTATGGGTTTTTCTAATAGGTGTTTGTTAATACATCTAAATTTCATTTAACTTATCATATATATACACATACTAACAATTATTATCATCCTTTACATTTATACACATTATTTAATTAATCTTACTTTTCAAAAAATCTAACAATTGAAGTAAGGCACTCGTTAGACGAACCATTTCTTTATTAATAGTAGAAATCAAATGCTTTTAATCCATTCCTTACTTAGCAACAACTATCAAATTAAAACAACAAATACTAAGCAAACGTTATTATGTACTAGTAGATTGCACACCTACCAAATAGGAAGGACAAGAAATAAAAATTTTTAAAAAAAAAGAGGACAGAGAGAGGAATTTGTTTGGATTGTAAGTTATTTGGGATATTTCTACTGTAGCACTTTTTGTGATGTGATATATGTGAGATAAAAGGGTAATCGGGAAGATAAAAAGGTGTATTGGAAATTGTAATGATGATGTAAGCAAATAAAATTGGAAAAATAATGTTCAATCCAAATAAACCCGAAATTTTCCAAACAACTAATTTTTTATTCTTAGAAGCCCATAAGGTAACCTGAAGCCCAAGCCCAATAGAAGCAATCCATCCCATAAAAACCTCTGCGCGAGATCTCCTTCCCGCTTTTTGGCGGGAAACCTTTCGTCTTCTGAGTTCTGAGCATCAGTCCGTCAGCATATGATGATGCTATGACGAAATTTTCAGAAATAACATCTCTTTTTTCCTCGCTTGCTTCGAATGCAGGAGCCCTAGATCCAACGGCTACAAATGAAGATGATGAAGATCTCGCCATCACGATCTCCAATCTGAATCGCTCTCTCAACCTGAGCGAAACTCAACCTAGCACCAGAGTTCTGGACACTGCGCTCTCTCTCATGTGCTTCACTGCTCCGCAGGTCCTCTCTAAACTCAATCAACAACTTTTTCAACGTTTTCCCTTTTGTATTTTAGTTTCTTATTTTAAATATACTTTCTTTTATTTGTTAGGTTTTCCAATCGGTGTTTGATTGCACGGTAAAGACGATCGTCGCAGTTCTGTCGTCTTCTGTCGAATGTAAGGTTATTAAAATTGGTAAAAATGAGGTCTTGCGAGTTGGCGGATCGATTTGTAGGCAAGACTGCGCGGAAATTATAGAAGCATGTGTTGATGTTTTGGAAAAACTGGAAGGACATCGAGGTATTTTTGGACGTTCTTTCTATTCTAAATTTGCTTTTCTGTGATATATTCTTTTTGTTTTGGTGCATTCTCTGAAGAATATTAGCATCACGTTTTTGTTGTATTTCAATTTTGTAGCTTTCAACACTACTTAAAAATGCTGTGATGGCTAGTTTTAGATGATATGGCAAAAAAATTACTACTAGTAAATAATAAAAGATGCCAAGTGTACTAGCATTTCAAGGATAGAAATGGCTACGATGGTACATTTTGGACTTGCAAAAATGTTAAGTAGGACACCTTCAAATGGTTGGGCGGAGGGAGTAATGGTGTGAGAACTTACTTTAATCTATAATGCTGATCTGAAATTGGCATTAACCATTGAACTGATATTAGTGTTTGAAATTGATATACTAGCCTACATTGTTCGTCTTTTTCATCTTGTAGGAGATCTTTCTCTCTCAATGGTACATGCTGCATTACGCATGGTGGTACTGGCTTCACGCTTTAAGTACACTTTGGAATCAAGTGCTGTTCTTGATGTTAAAACAGTTGATGGATGGAAACTTTCTTTTCAAAAGCTACTTGCCCATGTGCCAAAAGAAAGTTGTATGAGCAGAGATATGCCAGTAAGGTGGGTGGTCTGGACTTTGGAATTCCATATAGCAATCTGAGGGTCTCTATGTTTTACAGCCAATGTGTTGCCTTAAAGTGTGCTATTCACTTCAATGTCCTGAATATTTTATGTTCCTTCTCTTTGTGATTAATTTTTATCCAGTTGACATACTCGAGAATGCTGATTTTTATCCCCATCACATACTTGAGAATGCTGATTAATACTTCTCTAATTGACGTACTTGCAATGCTGATTTGAAGACAGACTTTTTGTAGTTATTTTGTAGATCACCAATTTGCCATTTCAGGTTGAAGCTGTAACTTTTTTTAGTTATTTTGATTCTTGGACATGCGAGATATGTTTACTTAGATGATCTTCTTTCTCATATGATATTATAAGTAACATCTTCTCTCTTTGTTCATTTGTTCATAGTGTCCAAAACTTTTTATATCTTTTTATGTGGTGAAGTGGTGTAGATGTGAAAATGTGGACTGTGAAATGTAAATGCTTGAATTAAGAAGATGGCTGGACATCTGAAATCATCATGTTATCTTGGTTGATTCCCCAATGAGCTTAGAGGACCTCTATGGTTTGTAATTTCTTGAACAGTTTGCTCATCTCAATATGTCATGCGCAGATTGTTTCATATCTTGCATTAACCAATACCTTTGCAGGTTGCTGTGTTGGTATCTTGATCCTGCCCTTCTAAAACATAATATGTCGCAAATCTTGCAAGAGGTCAATAAAAGACCTTTGCTTTGCCTGAGTATGGCCTTCAGTGAGATGACAGAATGGCATTCCATACTGATATCCTTGACGCTTGCTCCAGCTCTTTTCATTGAGGCTAGGGCCCTATTGCATAATTGGTATCTACTAACGTGAGTTCCTAGTCACAAATTTCATGAACTCTGTTGTCTACAATAGGTCTGATGTTTTGACTACTTGATATTGAAGTTTAGCAGACTCTGGGTTCACACCCTTTGCTTGGTTTTTACGCTTTCTGGTGTCTGTCATGATGGCTTTCTGGTGTCTGTCATGATGGCTTTTTGTTTTTTTTGATCTTCACGTGCTAGAATTTTGAACTATTGCTATTTGCAGCAACTTGTTTATGCTTGGTCAGAAAAGAATAAGCTTCTTTATTTTCACATGAATTGATGTCTCTGCTCCCTCACTTGGTAGGATTCAATGACAGGGGTTTGGCTTCTGTGTTGAGGCTTCAGATTCAGTTGGTTTCACTGGTTCTAGACATAGTCTCCAGACCAATGTCGTGGGGCTTATCAATGGAGACTGGGTCCAAAATGCCATTTTGTGATGCATATTTCCCGTACAAGCAAAAAACTATAAGAATTTTGGCTGGACCTCTGTCGTGGGAAAATTTTCAGCAGCTAGTTCAGAAGATAAGCAGATTGGTTTCTCAGGGGGGAAAAGACTATAACGGAAGTTCTGAGCAAGGGGTGTTGAAGATGGAACTGGTGGATCATAAATCTCTATGGTATGGTTTTGCTATATGGCAGACCCACGTCTTTTGATTCCCCAGTTTTTTTATACAAAGAAACTTATGTTTATTCTCCTCCACAACAGGGCTACTGCTATAAACTTCCCTGATTGGTTCTTGTTTGCCTGTCTACTACTCTTCTCTGCTCCAGACTTTCAGGGCATTGCCCATTTAAAGTACATGATACACTCCACTGATAAATCATATGATGAGGAAGTGCCTTATTGCGCTGCTGCAGCGAGGTATATTGCATGGATATTGGACCCTGTTACCGAATCTAATCAAGACTTGCTAGTTGATTATTTGACAAACTATCAGGATTATGGACTTCAAAGCGCTTTAGCTCAGGTAATGCTACCAGGCATCACGGGGCTGCAAGGAAGAAAGTGAAATTGAATTGGTGTGTCTTGAAAACAGAATCCTCAAATATGACAACCATTCAAATTGGATCTGGTTGAAGGAATTTCATGACGTGTGCGTTAGATATTGCAGACAAGTTACTGGTTTTGCATCTGTAGCAGCACAAATATCACAAGGAGATTGCAGCCAGCAAAGTAGATTAATTAGGATGATCCCATTAGGCATTTTGATTGGATTCCTTGATTCTGTAGATGAGGTAGGATGTGAATTATTTTTGCATTATGCTGCAACTGGTACTATCTTAAAATGGACAGAAACACAAATTCATGGACTGAAGCAAAACGGAAGGATCTGTGAATGGCAGGAAGAGTCGACTACGTGGAGTCAAACATGTACGGCAGAAGAGGCTGTAGCTGGAGCCTCTGTTGTCTTTGATCTAACTGATGTAACTGAGAAGATGACAGCTTCTTTATTTGAAAATGAGGAGAGGGGGTTAAAGTTTCTTCATGGCATGAAACTGAAGGTTGGAAATTATCTCCTCAAGTGCGTCAAGAGGCTTCTCCATTTTAAAGCTGATGAAGCAGCAAAACTTATAATGTATAGGGACCTCGTCCATAGCTTAGTACGGTGGGAACGTCAAGGACAAGATCCCCAAGACTACAAGGACCTGGAGGATGTCATCGACGCCTTGAAAGGTGCATCAGCTTTCTTGTGAGGAGATTGTGTAAAGAAGAAAATTTCCTCCTGCAAATTAGAAAAGAATCATTGGCCTGATTGGATAATAATGTTTAACTTTGTACAAGTGCAGTAAAAGTAAATGCTGTTGCAGCAAATGTAGTACGCAACGCTTTTGGGAGGCAAATTGTTTCCGCGTATTTTTTACCTTGATGCTTTTTTGCACGAATATATCCTGAATTTGTTCTCCGAGCTTTTTAAAATCTACTAGTAATATTTATGTACTTTGCATGTGATTATTTTATTCCAAAAAAGAAATATTTTGGGTGTGATTATATTAGCCCAAAAAAGTGATATGTTTTGGTACTAAAGTATTGAAAAAATTGCACGAATCATTTCTCACATATTTTATTGATGTGATATTTTAGTTCCTTAGAATCAAAATGATCGATTTTGGTTCCTAATAAACAGAAGAGGCTCGCTTTTGGTCGTTGGTCAACTTCTTGGCTGGAATTTTTGCTAGAAATTTAGTCCATCGATTGAGGATTATTGGTTCAGATTTATCATGGATTTTGATCTTAAGGATCTTTTAAATCATTGGATGTAATTTGATTGGCAACTCTGTTTGAGTCTTGTGGAGAAAATAGAGTGGAAAATTTGGATTTCTTGTTTGATTCTTTGGTTTGTGTTTAGGTGATGATTTTTATTTGATTTGAAGTTTGGAACATGTTTGAAATGATTTGGAAACTTGATCAATGCCAAAATAAAGTCGTAAATTTTGTCGAAATAACCTTTGGACAAGTTAGGTTTGAACGTTTGCAAAACTCAACAGTGAAGATATAGGATCCGGCATCATCCAACTAAAATTCAACCAGAAGGTATCAAATGAGAACGTTTTATATTTGTTAAAAACTAAAACCACTCATTATAATTTTGAATGATTAAAATTTCATATCAATAATATGTGAGTGACGATTAATATAATTTTTGCTAAAATATTTTTGACAAATTACCGTGATAAATTATTTTTGCTTTTTCTTTGAAAATATTTATCTACATTGAAACTTTGGATCTAATATTTGTTAAAAAGCTTATGGTCCCACAAAACACATTGCCAATTATTTTTGCTCAATCTCTCTGAAGGATTGCCGGCTTAGTAACAAGTTTACAAGCTGGTGTTGATTAGCAACTGCATAACCATATTAACTAGCAAATCGTATTCAGGGCGCATGCAGCTTCTCAACGAAATCACAAGGCGTATCGGCATGGTGTAGCAGCACATTAAAAAAAAAAAAACAAAGATAATATGTCATGATAATACGAGAAGAATAGCAACAAGGCTGTTTTCATATCAATACATTACGCATAGCAAGAAGGCTGCTGTCAGATCAGTACATTTTACAGTGACAGGCCAATCAGGCTTTGCTACTGAGATAAGCACACAGGATTGCTCAAAACAAAAAGGCTTAAAGAAGATATGCATGGACCATGGAGGAGATGCAGTTTTATCAGAAAACCAGATATAGGGGGCTATGCTTTAATTTTCAGTGCATGTCTCCTGCATACATCAGGCTTATTTGGAGTTGCCTCCAATCGACAGACATGCTAATGAGATACATATACGGGGACTTCTCATAATTCTAAAACTTAAAAAAGATGTGTACACAGGAGATGTACTATTCCCCGTTGTATAAAATATCTGAAGAGAGCTAGCTATCCTTTGCAGAGTGTATGCCGTTTACATACATCATGCTTATTTGCAGTCGGGTCGAGAGTGTGAATTATTCACAGTGAATGATGCCTATACAGTTCTTCATTCGTGACACCAAATTGGAGCCTTCGTATATCCCAGCATTGGATTGGATACCAAGTCATCTTGTCCTTTTAACCAAATACAACCAAGTTGAATCACCACCCCATTCTTCGAACACAACCAAAAGATTTCCACTTGGCTGCAGCCAAGAACGAGGAATATGGTACCTAAAATTTAGAGTGTCATCAGAAGTTATCGCATTGCTTACACAATCTATAATCTAATTGCTGAAATTATTAATTACCATCTCTGAGAAGGTTTTCCACAATACATCTGGCATTTCTTCTCTGAGAAAGTCCCGGCATAATTACAGCCACCACAGTTGCCATTTGCAATATATGCCGGCCAGTGCCTTCCAATGCTTTGACCATTTACCCACACTTCTCCTTTCCCCATACTGCCCATATCTAAAGCTATTGGATCGTTTCCCGGGGGTGCGTCGAATGTAGTCTGAATGGAAGTGTACATTGTTTGAATTAATAAACGAAATTTTAGCAGGAAATGTCTCAATTATAATTTTGAGGAAGTGATTAGGCATCATCAGAACACATTTAACTTGTGCCAGTCAAACCACCAAAAAATAAGGTAAACACAATTACCTTGTACCATGTCAGAGGCTGCTTGTTAGCCAACAATGATCCTTCTGCCCATTCGACAGAGGCACTTCCCGTGACAGTATGGAGACTTTGAGCTTCACCTTTCAAACCAACCTGATAATGAACAGCCAAATAAGTGTCTCCATGAGCGTGCATTCTGGCAATCTCTTGAAAGAAATAGCCTTTGAAAGACTTGCTATTGCAAACACGCCCAAATCAATGAACTTTCAACTTATTAATTGACTTTGTTAATTAACAGTTTGGTATTGCTATGATGCCGGAAGTGATACCAAACTGCTTTTGTTTCTTCTTTTTCTTCCAAGGCTTTTGTTACTTGTCGATATGGGAGCTAATCATGCAACTGAAGTTCTAGAATTTTTCTTCCTCTCTTGGTAACTCACAATATGGAGTAAAAACAAAGCAAATACTAATGAACCTTGTATGTCCATCTCTGCTTTGTCAGGTCTCTTGTGCCCTCATTTAGACCCTTCAAGGTTATTGGACCCAGAACACCTGTATTCCAGGTTTCAAAATGCACCCCAACATTCTGAAATACGATGAAAAATGCAATTAGTACGCTTGAAGAAAGCTTAACCAAATGCAAATAGTGATAATATTTAGGAAGCGTGTGGACATTATCAACTGCAAACTAACCGCTAATCCCTGCAACACTAAGTAAAGAAATCTTGTTGACACCAGCTCTAAGTTTTACATTGCTACTGTATGTGAGTTTTGGATTGTCCAATGAACCATACACCGTCCCTAAAAACAGACCCGTTAAGTATTAGCATAAGAACATGACAAAAAGTGAGTAGAAATGTACAGAATGTCAAGGCAGAACTTGATAATTTGCAAACACTATGAAATCTAACTACCTGAAAGTTGACCATTAATGAAAACATGCAAGGCATGGCCAGCTGACATAACAGTGAAAAGGGGGTCCTGTCCACTCTTCAGGAATCCTTCATTGGATGCAATATTCACGCTGGAGAATCAAAGAGGCAAGCAGGGATGGGTTAAAAAGAAGACTGAAAGTGATACTGAGATCTAGATACAGGATTTACAAAATGCTTTAAAGAACTTATTAGATAATATACACTCACTCTGTCAGGTACCACAAATAGTCCGAGGAATCTCTTGTCACGTTCAATTGCTCCCACAATCCATTCATTACAAGCACATCACTGTCGTCTGCAGAGGGTGTTTCATCAGTGTACGACTGCCATGATAATTTACCACCTACAGGTGTCATCAATGGCTCTGAGCTTGGGGAATTAACCTGCAAAAGACCATACACTGGTGTTGCTTAGGTTTAATTGTTGCCTAAAGCTACGAAATTTGAATGCATAGAAAAAGATTAAATTTTGGTCAGAAAACGGGGAGAATAAACATTAGAACGACCAGATAGGAATATTTACACGTATGTCAAATCTCCTTCATGACTAATGGAAGAAAACAATTGCTGGTCACCTTAGAGAGCTATTTCCTTACCTTTGCAGTATTGTAGACTACGGTCTTGCAGTCTGGAAGAATACTGACAGACCAGGGTGGCAGGTCATATGGAAGATTTTGGAAGCTCACTCTCACTGAGTATGTTGGGTCATAGTTAGAAAGGAAAGCAGCACAAGCTCCAGATCTTGATTTAAACACATGAGCCTAAACAAGTTTATGGAAGCATAGTTAGATTCAGAAAGTAAGAGGTGATAACACCAATAAAATTGCTGATGTTGTCAACCAACTGGAATCAATTTACCTCTGATTCTTCCCGAGCCAGATAACTGTGGGATACGTTGAAACCATAGCTGGTTCGCATTGTTTGATAGCCTTATGCAGATCTCTCAGGTGCCCCCATTTTGGTTCATTCAGTAGCCCTAGTAAATTAACCACAACATATATGAAAAGTTGTATTCAAGTTCTGAAGAGACAAGCAGTCATATTGAGAGCTGCACTTTTGCTGTGAGAGACATCCGATGTTGCACGAAACAGTCATTCATCCTTTTTGATCATCATATGCCATTTTATGCGCAATTTACAAAATATCGAAGATTTAAAATTGGTATGATACTGAAACGTACCATATTCATCAATTGGAGCATCATAGTCATAGCTAGTGGCAACAAAAAGACCAGAAGCAGTCCGGCCAAAATTTGTTCCTCCGTGATACTGCGGCGCCAATGCAAAAACACAAAATACACAGACATTTCAAAACATAGTAAGTAATTACCTAAATCATATAAAGGCAGTGGGCTAGAATTTCTTTCCCAATATGCATTTAAGATTTGACTAACCATATAGTAGTTGAAAAAGAACCATTGTTTTGGATAAACCTTGCAACTGCATATGCCAAGTCCTCTGCTGGTCGATGGGGATTTGGTCCTCCATATTGTGTATACCTGGGATATAGTAGGAGGGACATCAGAAGGTTTCTTAATGTCTAATTAGCACCAAAACCTAGAGAACAGCAGGAATGGATAAAAAGGGAATTTTCTTTTTTTTCAAGTGACTCACCAGCCAGTCCAGATTTCAGTAAACATTTTTGGTTTGTAAGGCTTGTTTGGAACAAAACCTTCACAGTAGAAACCATTGCAAGCGTCTATCTGCAATAGAATAAAATAAAAGAGCATGAGAAGCTTGAGAACAGAAAATGGAGCACTTTTGCAGATTCACCTTCAAGAGAAGAGCTGGAACAGAAAGACATCGAATTCAGCAGCCGAATACAAAATTCATTTTCAGATTAATAGATTTGTCCGACATATTTGTGGGCATATTAATTTGTCTCCCTCAGTAAGATCAGCCAAATCTGTTAGCCAAACCTAATGGGTCAAATATCAAGCACATAACCAAACATCCAAACTCTACTGATTGAAGATAATCTTTCCAAGGACAAAATAAACAAAACCAAAAGCTTTAGGAACCATTTGGGCCCTATATCACCCTAATAAACTCATAGCTTAAGAAGAAAAAAGGGGGCAAAAAAAGAGGTGGTAGAAAGAATTGCTTACAACAGGATCAGGGGCATCATCTTGCTTGCACATGACCCATGGAACACCAGTGTTTTGAGCAACAGCCATTTGTGCCGCCCATTTGGTATATGCTTTACCTGGAGCTCCGATCTCCCACTCAACTGGGCCATACTCGTTCTCTATCTGGAAACATGCAAATATCCCAAATGAATCCTAAGAATTGGTTGCAACAGACCTTGTAATAAACGAAAAACCACGAACGAAACAGAACCCATATCCATCTAGAAACACGGAAACAGACAAAAAAAAAAAGATCACAAGTATTTATTTTCCAACCTGGGACATAATAATTGGTCCTCCCTGAGGCTCGAACAAATTTTCTGACTTCATCAAGTTGACAATTTTCGTAACAAATCCTTGCATTGCCGCCTTCGTCATGGTCAAAAAGTAAATTTCAGAAGTCAAACTAAAACCGAACCATAAACACAGCCATTGGTGGATTTAAAAAGGGACCCTTCTGTAGTTGAGTTGTACCTTAAAAGGCCCGTTGTCTGTCCTAAATTCCATGCCGGGCACGTATTTTAGCCAGACCGGGAAACCCCTGCATCATTAAAACAGAGAAGAAACAGAGGAATTCAATACCAAAACCAATACCCATACATTTCTATTACTAGTCAGTATTACTTCCCATTTCAACATTAATGAGTAAGAAAGACCTTAACGACAATAATAAAAGAAATTTAAGATACATGTGAACGTATGAATGTAGTAGATATTTATTTATCTGCATTACCCAAAGTTCCATTCTGCACAAACGTAGGGGCCAATGCGAAGATGGGCGTAAAGACCAGCTGCTTTTACTAGCTTGAGGAATCTGACGATATCGCCCCTGCCCTCAAAATTATACTGCAGAAATACAAATTCGAGATAAATATAGATTACAGGAAGGAACCTTTAATTTTCAGATAGAAATGATCATTGTTCAAGAAAAAAGTGGATTGGAAATTCAAGAATACCTTTCCAGGAGAAGGCTCGTGCACATTCCAAAATACATAAGTTTGTATCACATCCAAGCCTCCGTCTTTAGCCTTCTGTATAAGATCAGGCCACATCTGCATCCCACCCCAAGTAAATAAGTTGAAAAAGAAAAAAGACTCATCAGAAGAAATTCATCACTAAAGCATGCATACTCGAAAAGAAAAAAACAGGGGATATTCATAATTGGCGATTGTTACTCAGGAGTGTTCTGGGATAATGAAATGGAGCCAGAAATAAGAATTTTTCTCTGGCCATTAATGATGAATGACCTGCATCATAAGAGACTTTGGCTCTAACTGTACAACTAAGAAATGATACCAGAACTATGATCAACAACAAAATGTTGGTTCTCAACATTTTCCTAATTGAGCCCCGGAATTCTCCTATTCTCTTTTTTCAGAGCCTCAAATCTCAAAGCCAAATGGGTCCTTTTTGTCCTTGAGTTCTTCGCTTTTTACGTTCTTAAAATTTTGCCTTTTGTCGGTACTAAAATACAAAAGAACAACAAAGAAGCTGATAAAATAGAGGGAAATAACAAGAGGCCTATGTCCCGCCTCCTTTTCCTTTCCTAATCTTTCTCGGTGCTTCTTTTGAGAATGAGATGTTTATTCTATATTGATGATAGTATCCTGTGGAGATGGTTTTGGCATTTATGGAGCCAAGGGTGGCAGGCAGCCTGCAAGTACGAATTTGGCTTTGAAAAAGAATTTGATTTTTAAGCATGAAAGCTTTGGAGGCCTGCTAATGGCTATTTATACAAGTAGAGAGCTAAAGATTGGAGGGAAGTGGGACACATTGTTGGGGGATTGGGTGGGGGGCCGGTTGGGGATCTATCTTTTCTGCTTAGAAATTCACGCTAATTCAAGCAAGCACATTTGATTATGTGACTCGGAGTTTTTGATAAGATGACAATACTGCTGAACAAAATAATACTACTACTACTCAATTGTGAGTCATTTTGGACAATCTTTTTGACTCTTGCCTTTGAAAAGAAAAAATATATCCCATATTAGGATAAGGAGAATTCTGCAAAAAAAAAAAAAAGGATAAGGAGAAAGGATCCTTTGGGGTGGTTTTGTTCGTTACATTTTTAACTTGAGGTGTAGAATGAAGGAAGACCTGTCGTCTTGTACTCGTTTTATGGCTGCGATTGAGGAAACGAAAAGAAAATGAAATTCCCTAGTTTCTGATGCTTTACACATAGGTGAGGAAAATGGAGAAACGTAACATCGTTTTAGCTTTTCTGAAAGGAAGCTACAGGGGACGTACGCTTGACACTACTAACTAGAAGTGTTAATTAGCTTCAAATTTCTTCCAGTTGGTCGAATAATTATTGTGAGTATTGTTTTAGAATCAATATTGAAAATTGACAAATAAAAACTGGACGGATACTGGTTAGAAATTACGGCTCTCCACTTGCGCAACTTATTTTCACTTTCAATAATTCACAGGCGTTGATGGATGAACTTATTTTTTCACTTTCAATAATTCACAATTATTGACGGACGGATGACAATTATTTTGAAAAACAATCTTTTATATAGTGCAAGATTTACTAAAAGTGATGGATACTTTCTCGAGTTTTGTTTGAAACACTAGCATAGATTTGCGTTGGCGTCAGTTATTAGTCCCATATCAACTTCAAAAAGGTATTAATAATAGGGGCACAAAAATTTTAGGATGACCAAGAACTAAGAAGGTGTGCGCATATCTAGTTTTTCACTTTTGTTCTTCAATATTTTATACACGAGCTCCTAGAAACACACTAGTAGTGGCTAAAAATTTCAGAAAATTTGTCCTTGCTTTTGTCACTTTTCTTCTGTGGTTTCGCAGCAGCTCATGACTCACGAGTGGTGAATAATCTGCTGATTTCCATTTGAAAGTTGGGGCAGCATTCCATTCCGATCCCTCCCTCGTGCATAAAAGTCATCAAATCCGAATCAGCTTTCAATGTTGAGTTTCTCTACTTCTGCATATTATACTTGATCGCTCTATTGGATTAATCAGTAGGATTTGATCACTCTATTTGACCAACCAAAAAAAAAAAGGAAAAAGAATAAATATTGGACTGATCAGTAATTCATCTCCTGATCATCTTGAAATTTTACCCACCTAAAGCCCAAATTAATTAATAGTGACAAAAAATTTGACAGTTTTATTTTAGCTTCTTCTTTCTTTTCCTTGAGGTATAGCATTAAAGATTCCAAAATTACCAAATTTCCTTGAGGTTCTTTTTCTTTTCCTTTTGGGGAGTGTGTTCAAAACTTGAAAGACATGTGTTGGTTTGTTACTTGCTGTGGTTGATGAATTATGGAACGAGACTTGGCTCGAAAGAAAAAGTCAACCAAGACGACACACCACAGCACTGTAGTTTTGGACTTTTTGGTTCGGTTTCTTTGAAGTTTGAAAACAAAGCGTAAAAGAGATTTTTTTTTTTTTTTAAAAAAAAAAAGACAAAAGGAGGAGATCGCTTCGAGACAGAGAGCAAAGAGGTTAAGTAAAGGGTTTGGAGTTGGCTCCTCCTTTTGCACTTTTGTTTCAAATTCGTGTCTGCTACGGCTCCAATTTCTGTTGCACACACTACCCAACCCAACGCCTCCTCTTTCAGTGTAGCCAGGTGACGGCCAAACCAAAATCCAAGCAAAAAATTTGAAGCAAATGGACCATAAATGAATCCAAGTGCTTTTTGGCGGTTACATTTGATGATGAATTGGCAGAATTGCAAGTGCTTCTATGATCAGCTACGCATTCTACAACAGCTTTTGCTGTGTTGGTTTTGGCTATCCTTCTTGGTTTTGAATTGCTACATCAAATTGCACTCCAGTTCCCTAAAATATGCCGCACGTTTTGAGGTGCATTCCACCTCAACAACCAGAATTCTTCCTCTTAACACCCTTTGTTATGTTACCAAATGACGCACCATTAGAGAGAAAAATCATGCTTGATTTTGTTACATCATTTCAACCGATTTATAGATTCTATCAATAACGTTTTTTCTTATACATCCCATTGCTTTCTCACCCTGTGTTTGGACAGCCATTTTTCGTCGAAAACTTGCGTCGTTTTCCGTGATCACATTTTTCTATTATCTTTTTTTCTCACATACATCGAATCGCTACAATAATTTTTTTACAAAAAATCCAAGAAAATGCAATCCAAACAAGGTAATTTTTTTTTAAAAAAAATTCAAAATCTAGCAAAGAAAGAGTGTCGCTTTGGATTATTCTTGTGAGCTTTTCTATCGTCACTTTCCATAATTAATTGTTACCAGAGTATACAGTAAACAAATACAAGACCAAATTTTTTGCCCAGAAAAAGGGAAAAAAAAATCCTTACTTTATTTAAAGCCCCGAAATATTGCAAAACAGCTCATGGAAAGAAACAGAGATAGCGTTTATTTAGTAACATGAATAGTCAAAGGGTCCAACTCAATCTCACTAACCTATGAGCCAAAAATTGTAGGAATTGGACTTTGTGATACAATAATAATAAATGTTTCCACAAAATTATGCTAGGAATAGTAGTGTGATGACAATTGATGTATTCATATTACTAGGAACAATAAATGTTCATGTACACGAAAAGCTACCAGAAGTTTTGAAGCCGGTGACTGTACGGTAATTCCAAGCAAGTCAAAATTGGCAGTCCATTTCACGCCCAATTGCTTGCTCAAGTAAAGTATATGCTATATATCCTTCTAGTTTCACTAGAAAAGTCGTCGTAATAGATGCTTAGACAAAAAAAAAAAAAAAAGGATTTAAAAGGTGGATGAATGGAAATTCTAGCTTCCTTCTAATTGACAAGACAACAATCAAAAGTAAAAGTATTACGTACGATTTTGCAACAAAATCTTTAGTCTTGAACACACGTCTAAAGTTGTCCCGCCGGAATGGTCCAGCGACAGCGCCTCTCACCAATGATTCTTGAGATCACAAGTTCGAGTCTCCGTTACGTTGGATTCCTCCGCGCACTTAACATGTTCGGACCGGATTGGGGCGCCGGATCCGGCTGCAGAGAATTAGTCGTGGTCCTGTGTCGACAAAAAAAAAAAAAAAAAGAACACACGTCTAAAGTTGAATAATTAACTGCGTACCTTCTGCTTTTTGCTAGTTTAATAATTCCATCCTTCACATATAGCTTGAGTGACTCCCCCCCGTTTAATATTCTCTCCCTATGTGGCCTATATATAATCTAGTAGTAGTTCAAAACTTTTTCTACACTCAATTCCATAGTTCTATTAATAATATTGTATTGTATTGCCATATTGTATGTGTGCGCAGACTTTTCTCTACTGTCACTACTATCTTCTTGTTTTTATGCTCACGCCAAATTTATTCATCTATAGATGACAAAGTCAAGTTTCTTTTCGGAGGATACCTACTCAATATGTTTTTACCATCTTGCTCTGAGGAAAAAAAGGCAGGAGGGAAGTTTTTTCGTTTCTCTTGTAAAATATTCCAAAATAATATGCTGGCAATCGGAGGATGTATACATACTACTAGCCTATAGGAGTCTAGGATGGTCGATAATATGTTTACGATGGGACTGGCCAATTCACTAATGGCCGTCTATACTCAATTATAATACAGTGGTCATCTTCTAGCTCTCCAAAGGCGTCCTAATCCTTGAGTTAATCAAAATTTTTAAAAAAATAACAAGGTGGTCCTAATCCGTGATCGGAGCCGTCATATAGACCAAAGTTCTCTTAACAAATCGATATAAGTTCACATTGGATTCGAGCCTCTTTTGAAACATTCGCCCGTCGCACAAGATTTATTTCGTACGTCTGACCTCTTCGTATGATTGACGAGTTATTGCACGGAACGAAATTTACTTAATGCGTATTCTGAATTGACGGTTATCGTTCACTTTTATAAAAAAAATATATTCAAGATCCCTTCACTCTTCAATCAACTTGGAATTATATATATATATATATATATATATATATATATATATATATATATATATATATATATATATAGGTTCTTGGACAAAGTTTCTGATCCTTGCCTATCACCTATTTCTCGTTGAAATTTACCACAGGAAGTGGACGACTCTTCAAGTTACGGAAGAGTCTAAAAACCAAGATGAAGATGCCACGTCGGGGGCGGTCCTTCTATTTAGCGGGGCCGGACCTACGTTGTTCCCTTTCACTTCATTATTAATTGTTTCTATCAACAAAGCAGAGACAATCTGTGATTCCTTTCATGCAACGTTCATTGTTGTGCTAAACTCTACTACTAATCCACAGATGCATGCATATTGGCCAGTTTTCTTCTTCTTCTTCTTCTTCTTCTTCTTCTTCTTTTTTATAAAAAAAAAGAAAAAGAAAATCAGAACGTTTTTGTTGTGCAGATTAGGTTGCCACATTCTGACCATCTGACTCCTACTCGTTTTCGTTATGCATATCCTCACTTGTCCAACTTCAGACTGGATTAGCACTAAGCAAACAAGCAAGCAAGCAGCCGTATTTTGCCCAGACCAAATGAATATATTCACATCCTACCGAGTCACAGATTATGCAAAAGTTCTTTCTTCTTTTACGCAAAAATACAACCACTTGGTTGTATGAGTGGATCGCCAACGTATAAATTCTGCTCCGCCTCTGATATTGCTCTTAGGTTTTATGTACTATATCTTACCTTGAATTTTAGCTCTCTTTTTTTTTTTTTTTGACAGTTGACACAACGTAAATTATAAACTTGGGATATAATCTAAATAAATTGGAATGAATTACTTGCATATATATTTTCAAGAAATATAGTTAATTTGCCAATCAAAACATTAATTTCCCAGGGTGAGAACGATGGCCGATTCGTTCTTGGCCCTATCGTTTTGCAGTGTGATTGTCATTATTGTTGAATATAAGTATTAAATTGGATTTCACATCCATGCTTGACTGTAGTGGTGGTGGTGGCTCCTCATCAGTCATCAGATTTCTTTTCTCTTGGAAAGTATTGTATTATTCATTTCAATCACATAAAATTTTTTCATGCGCTGATACGCAATCCATCATGTTTGTTATGGGTCCTCCAGAATGCGCACAATCCATGATGATTTTCAACTAATATTAATTGACTTTTATTTTATCCAAAAAAAAAAAAAATTTCTTCTGTTGCAAAATTTAAAAAACAAACGAGGAGAATTAAGCAGTCGTTGTTGGTGATAATTGATGAAGTGATCATCTATTATTTTTGCATCTTGAATTCGTTAAAATCGCAAGAACTGACTCAATCCTTTGACTGATTGTAACTATTATATATTTTGCTTTATATATATTGCGAGGGCTGGTCTCGTCTCCAAAGTTATCTCATCATCTCTTGCGTCAAGATTATATATATTGGATATGATTTCCTTTGATAATACAAAAGTTCGTTCCTCTAACTCTAAGCAAGAAAGAAAGCAAAAAAAAGAAGCCAATTTTCGCTCTTGGAGTCCAACCTCATCATTTGTATTTCACATAGAAAATTAATTTCAGCCCAGTGACTCTTTTAGTCCAAGATCAGCACTTTTTTTTTTTTTTTTTTTATGAATGGGAATATAAATATGGTCATTATTTTCAAATTTCGTGGCTTGAAAGATGCAAATGTCATATTCATTTTCAGCATCCATATCCGTATGTCACAATCAGCTTCGAAAACAAAGTTGAAGAATCTCATATTCACAAGCAACCCCCACCTTAAAACAAACAACTACGTAAAATAATAACCCCAATGTTTGGCCTTGCGCGTGCTGAATCTCCGCAACAATTAAAAATAAATAAATAAATATATATATATATATATATTGGTCATTCCCTCCCGGGGATGAAGAAGAATATAACGTGAGGGTAGAAGAACTTATCCACCAAAATAATTCAATTGGTGATGATTTGGATCTCGACGATGACAATAGGGAAGGCAGCCCGGAGTCCCTTTCCAGCAGTTATTCTTCTGGTCGAGATCTCACTGCCTTCTCTTATCTTCAACAGTTTTCAACCTCAACTTTGAATGAACATCTCACAAAAGGGTTCCTTCATTTTCGAGCGATTAGGATTTTATCAAATTAGATTTGAGCTTCCGTTCGTTAATCACGATCACCCTAGTACAATCAATGACATAATCATTGGACCTAAACCAGTAAGTACACTTGCATTAGGTCTACCTAATGCATATGTACTGCGTCAGTAGTAGTGACATTAACCACCAATTCATTAAGTTTCTTCGTCTTGATGTTGAAAATTAATTTGACAGTATGATAGGATATTGTAGCAACACTAACGGACTGATTCGTTATATATGCCTACTTGGAATTGAAAGTCGAAACCGATGCATTATCATCCATCCATCCATTTCCTCAACCACCACCAACAATAGCAACATATATATACAGTAGCATTTCTTCAACAAGTTCACACACACACCAGAACTTGGGAGTTCTTTTCTTTTATTTTTGGTTTGTGGGCAAAGTTTTGGATCAAATTTACTGCATTTTTGTTGGAGTCCTCTAACTACCTAACTTCTCAACCATAATGTCGATTTTTTCAAAGAAGAGAAGTTTGGTCAATTATCTTAACAAATCCCAACATGCCCGCAATTCTTTTTGGTAGAATTGGGACCAATTAAGCGCGCCGTGCCCTTGTTGAGCTGTGGGATAGAGCCAACAGAACGACCGTAAGTTGAAGCTGAACTACCGTATTCATTACACCCTGCGTACGACTTTTCTTTTCTGTGTGTCTCTCGTTCTTTCTACTCACTGACACCCTGTGTCATGCGTAGCATTGAAACTTGCAAAGGCATCGTATAGTCTTCATTTTTATGGGGAACAACCGTGCATTCGAAATTGATGGCCTTGTTCGGCAAGCAAGTTACAGTAAAAATTTACACACTTCAAAAAAATTTTTTTACAGTAAGTTACAGTAAAATTTTAGATAAACACTAATAGACTCGCTTACCAAACGGACCGATCGATATTACAATGGTTAAAATCATTTTGTTTAGAAAATGGTCTGGTTTTTGGTGCTTCAAATGGTCTGCTCACCGCTGCGAAGAAAGGCTTCACTGGTTCTTTAGGGAGACTGGCCAGTTTGTAGTGTGAGTGCCATTTACCAAAGGCCGGGGTTTTAGGGCTCTGGAATTGGCTGGACTTTTTACTAATAGGAAGCCCATTAGTTCCTGCAACCTGTCGAAGTTAAGCTTAGATCAACATAGTACTTAATTGACCTTAGCCTAGCCTTGGTCTGAACTTACTATCGAGGCGGCGGCCAGCTCAAAATTGAGATTCTCAGAAATACATGGATCCAGATGCATTTTTCATAACCACCCAGTTTAATTTAATGAAGAAGCGTACATGTCTCAAGAAGTATTAGAAACTGGAGAAAAAGGCAAACCACATACTATCATAAAGAAAAGTGCAATCACACTACGTGCCAAACTTGTTGGACTCCATAAAAATTTTTATATTTTTATTTTCAACAATCTCTGCTGCGCCTGATGCAGACATAAAACGAGTATCATCACGGGAATTAGAGGAAGCAAACTGGCAGTGGTCAGGAGTATTTCAGTCAAAATTACAAAAGGTCTTTGTTCTGATCACTTTTGATGTTGAAAACCGAAAGCTTCGGATGAATGGGATTGTGTGGCAGTCATGAGCAAGCGACGATTTTCACTTTCTTTCTTTGTGCATGCAATGCATGTATCGCCTGAAATGAATGAACCACACAGATCATAAATCGAGCTCATCAGCTTTCTTCTTCTTTCTTCTTCTTCGTGTTCGTGCCAGCCCAACAAGTTGCAGCCCCTCACAACAAATTAAACCGCCCCACCACCACAGCATTTATGGGACATCTTTCTGTCGAGTCTCCTGTGTATACACACATGTTGTTAATTGTTTATGCAGTGATCCAAATTCCAGGAAAAGAAAAGGGACGCTAAAGCTTTATCGATCCAGGTCATCCAAACGATGCACCTTATCCTTCACAAATATATTAACGTTTGATGATTTGACCTGTTAGCTTAAAACAAGTTGTTTGTGCTTATTATAATTTTTTTTTAAAAAAAAATTGTGCACTTAATTTTACTGTCAAAAGAGTGACAGAAAACCGTAATTAGCAGATTAGAAAGGCCTTTGAATCTTTGATTTGATGGGGTACGTGATGCCTTATCCAAATGTGGTCGGCGTCAATCGTCCGGTCCTGAGTTTCTTCCTGGTAGTATTTTGTGACCTTACGGGACTATCTCAGCCTTGGCAAGTTGGCGTGTATCTGACCCACAAATGGACCTTTCTCTCCGGTCCTTTCACCAAAGGTATCAGCCGAAAATCGGCAGATTAAAATTTTTTTTTCTTTTTCATTTTATTTGGGGCTCTTAGAATGCCCATATGGTTACTTGAATTTTGTTTTGTGAGTAAAAAAGCAATACAGTGTTGAAAATATTGCATGTCATGTTCTCAAGGAAAATGAAGCATTACTGCACCTTACCATATACTTACGTATTTCAATTTACTGTTACATATTGAATTTTTTTTAAGAAAAAAAAACTTATTTAGCGTGCGATTTTCTCTTTTTTTTTTTTTTTTTTTCATTTTGTACACTACATTAATTATTATTTTCTTAAAACATTTCCAGAAGAGGCAAAACCAGATGAAGCCTGTCAAGCAAGAAACTATTGTTAGAAGAAGTTGGAGGAACTCCACGCAATAACTTTTTGTAACAAATTAACCAACAACTACTTGCATTAACATATATATATATATATATATATATATATATATATAATCATCTGATAAACTCGGCTAACTTGATGGACTATGGCCTATAAATTCGTTACTTAACCGCAACTTCATATTTTTAAACTTCATCGGCCATGGTCCATTCACGTAGATTTTCAGCTGAAAAGCCATGTCATCCTTACTTGGGCCAGAGTTCACTCTGATTTCTTTCCTTTATCTGCGTGTTTTTAGATCCAGCCCAGCTTAACTCCTTCCCTATGCGCCCCAAAATAGGCATAAGATACAACATCCGGTGGCCCGACCGCCCTTCACGAATTGTCTCGCGTCCAAAGCTAGTGTTTTGATTAACAATTCATGGCCATTGATCTGTCCGTCGACGGTAAGATTTTTAATTCGACTTTCAAGTTCTCTATTTTTCCTCGTCTCTCTAGTACCGTTTAGAGTTGTCTTTGGATAAAAAACTAAAAATAAAAATAATAATGTCTCTGTAAAATGGGCATTATTGTACGCATAATCTTTACAAAAAAAAAAAAAATTAATTTACAAAATTAAAGCACAATCTTTTGTATACGATAATGTAGCCTTCTCTTAACCAAATTGGAACCGATAACTAAAACTATATGGGTCAAGAATTCCTAATGACAAGAATCAAATGTATGACAACCATATTTAAATGGTATCCAGGTTCTCTATCATCGGAGTTTTGATTGTCAGGACAGTTGATGAATGAATCACAAAGTCCTAATGATTAAGAATCAATCGTATGACAACCAGACCTGAATGAGATCTGGGTTCTCTGCCATCACAGTTTTGATTGTAGAGAACAGTCGATGGTGGGAAATTAATTTTAAAGTTCCATAGTTGGAATTCAGTTTTGGACACAAAATTCAATAAGTTAAAAGAAAAATCCTTATGCTGTTATATGTTGCCGTTTTAATGTCTACATCTATTCTATCAGTGTCCATACGTACGGAGCAACCACAAGTGACAAGGTTGAGGTCCTTGATACCACACACAAGGTACATATGTAAGGATCCATTTTTACCCAGTGGCAAAGAATTTTTTCGGAAGACGCATCATATATAGAGCCATAATTATTGATAGCCTTACTCGAAACGACAAGATCCTCCACCAAGAGGCCCGGGTACATTAGTATTAGGATTGGTCCTGCTTTGAAGTTTTGGCCATCCCATCTCCATGCATTTGTGCCTGGACCAGCGACTGTTACAGCTTGAAAGCTAGACTCTTCATCGGCATGTATAGATAGACGTTTTGATAATGGTAGACTTAATTTTTAAGGAACCAATGGATTTTCGATTTTCAAGTCGGTCATATTTGGGATCTATATGTTCTTTTGAAATCAACAACCGTACCTTTGCCTTTGACGTCAAAGGGCAAGATATGTTGACAATAGAGGTGCGTTGACTAGCTAGTTGGCCATGATAGGGGTTGATCATGCACTAAATCATTTGAATTTAAATTTATTTTTACTTCTGAGGTTACTATAGTGTTAGATCGATTCATCTAAAGGTTTTTGTTTGTGCATGTGAGCTTCGATCTCAGTGATGGAGTTCTTAGAGCTCCAATTGGAGCTTAATACCAAGACGATTATTCGGAATTAAAATCATTTTCCCACTTTTCTTGATTGAGGGGGAGGGTTGGGAGAGCCCGGAGAGGAAGAGTGTTCCCGTAGATTTGGTAAGTAATATTTCTTCACAAATACTCGATCAATAATTGATAATAGCGGGAATTTAAACAAAGGTACTCGATCAGTAATTGATAATAGCATTGACAGCAAACTTGAAATAGAGTTTTTTCGGAAGAAATTATTCATTGAGCCAATATGAGTTGATAAGATTTTGACTTTTGGACTTACATCAAATTATTATAAATCAAATTAATATACAAGGGCCAACTCTCATATAGTTGCTACCATAAAGCCTAATTCATTTTTATGTACATAAAGTGCTAAATACTACCATATAACCGGAGGAAGTATCGATCACATCCACGTGCATATGTAACAATGCCGCGATATATTTGGAGAAATGTTCATGCACAGTATGAACATCATCGTTAGGAATTCGTGCATGCTCTTTATAAAGGAAAACCACGCACCACCACGGTCACTAACCTAGGGTTGTAAATTAACTAAGCTATTCAACTCAGATTTGCAAATAACTCAGTCAAAAATTTAACTCAAATTTAGCGTTGCTCGAGTTTTACCCGAGTTCAAGCTAGTTAGTAACGTAATCGAGCCGAATTCAAGTAGAAAAAAATTAAAATTCAAATACTCGTTGAACCTTATCGAGTAATGTATTTATATAACAATACTTAATTATGTATTATAAATTTACCTAAAAGTTGAGCTTAAAAACTTGAATGAGTTTGATTAAGTTTGACTAAACCCAATTGAAATCAATTTGATCGAGTTTGAACTTGAGCATTTTTACTCAAGCAGAACTCGAGCAGCGTACTACTCATGCAGCAGGCCTGCACTAGCTCATGTAATGTGCATCTTTTCTTCTCCGCTGCGCCCTATCGTTGCCCATCAATTGGCCGCAACCGTTATTTAGCTAGCGAGAGAGAGAGAGAGAGAGAGAGAGAGAGATCACAAGATCACAAGATCACAGAGTGAAAAAAATGGGACCTTTTTGACATTGATCAAAGTGTCATGTAGCTAAAATACCATGGCCCCTCAGATTTTGAAGCACCAGTCTGAAAACTACCTGCATTTGGCCCGATTCTCTATTCCTGACAGCGAACATGATAATTTTACACCATGTCCCCATCGGCGTCTCCAGCTCTAAACAATTTGCAGCTGTGACTCCTAGACTGCATACGTAGCCATTTTTGTGATCGCAGAAAATTTATGTTTTTCCTTCTCTTACTGGTCAATCCGATCGATAATATCATGTTTCACCTAATAGAGACAAAAAGTTCATGTTTTTTGCCTTCTTGTTTTATGTACGTATGTTTCATTCAGGTTGGTTGTTCGATTCATTGCTCAAACAACACTCTCTCACCCTGCAAAAGGGTATGTTCTCAAATCTCAATCCCCTGGATATTTCATATACATATATTTCTGCTGTTATCAATACGTTCAATCAGTTCTTTGTGCAGGATCTGCATACAACCGATTAATTACTTCGACCGTCACAGTTCAGACTCTATTGCACAGAAAATTAAGCTAATGTTACACGTAGTTCTGTCTTGTCCAGAAAAAATGTTTATTAATTGTTACTTATATAAAATCTTACTAGGTTAAACAGATCATCATCATATCCTTGAAGAATATTCTAAATTCGATACGATCGATAGTTTACAGGATGGGCATGCATGGAGCATGGAAGATAAACGTAGACCTACTGCATTAATTAATTATGCAGTCATTAAGACATGGTAATATCCATTGCTGTAAATATAAAAAGCTCTAAAAAAAAAAATCGTACGTAGCGAAAGACAAATTTGTTGTGTCTCCAAACATGAAAAACTTGTTATTAAGATTCAAGAACTAGTCCCATTATCTCCGTTAGAGTTTTTGAAGAAATTTGGAGCTTCATATAAAGACAGCTTGAAGGAAGGATTAACAAATTCCCTATCAAAGTCCTAGGGACACAAATAGCAATGGCAAATCCTTGTCGAAATTTTCAATTCACATCTTCATCTGATTTCATTTCATCCAAATTAAATGCAGGAACGTACCATTCAAAGGTCAAAGGATGTTGAGAACTTCTACGCCATTTGGCAAAACTATACAATGACGACTCAAGTCGCAGAAAATAATTTGATTGTTTTTGTTTTTGATGCATAAAAAGGTTAAGTTTTTTACTTCCAATTGTCCCCAGCCATTTGAACGCCAAAAAAAAAAAAAAATACTAGAAGAGAAAAAGAGATAAGCTTCTTAAGCGCGCAAGAGTATGAAGAATAAAGAATTGAGTTACAAACAGAAGGGGCGCAAAAACAGAAGTTGTATTGTGGTTTGTTTAAAACCACTGGAAAGGAAATGTATTAGTTTCCAAACTTGGATTAAGGTATTAAAGTACAAATGCAATGTAAAATATGATGGAATGAGAAAACTTTCCCTCTTCCTGAACTTTTTCCAAAAAAAAAAAAAATGCAAAATTTAAAGTGGTAGAAGTATTTTGTCAAAGTACTAGACTTACTGTATAGACATTTATTAAAAGGGTTTTTTTAATAGGTATCAAATGAATATTTATTAACGTGCTTAAATCACAGCTAATATTCTATATGAATACATATACTAACAATTATTACTCTTTTTTATATTTATGCACTTTTCATAGTTAATATTACTTTTTAAAAAATTTAATACCTGAACTAAATAGACCTTATTAAATAAAAAATCTCTTCAAACCGTATCTCATTTTTAAATTTCTCAAATGTCGGACAACGTGACATGAGTAGTGACTGCCTCAAAAAGGGAGAACTAGGGAATCCGCTCCCCACCCTCCCTAACCTTTTTAGTTCAGGGAGGATGGCAAAGGAAGCGCCGAAGAAATATTGCTGTATTTTCTTTTTAATTTTGATTTTTTCTAACGTCAAACGAACACTTGTTAACATATTTAAAATTTATCTAACTTATTATATATATACACAACTAATAATTATTACTCCTTTTTGGCATTTATATACTTTTCCTATTTAATCTTAACTACTCTCTCTTGTATCTATTTACTTTTTCTAATTAATCTTTTATTTTTATAAATAAGACATTTGAAATATATTTAACAAGTGTACACGTTAGACAGAGACTTTTAATTTTTAAGAAAGCTCACACTTTCGATTATTACTTCGCACAAGTTTACAAATAAGATTTCCTTTTTAATAGAGATGTATATACCACGTGAGATATTTAGAGTTAATGTGGAGATAAATTTCAATTCTTTTTAAATCATAGACATATTACAACTTTCTCAATTAAGGTTAGGGATGCAGAGAAACGAGAACATATCTACAAATGAACGGGTGGATATGCATCTAAATCTAAAATACAAGGGTAAGGAATAATGGTGGACATGGGAATGGGAAAAGGAGTAAATAATTAGAGTTGTCTAGACATGAAAATAGGAAAATTGTAAATAATAAGAATCGAGTAAATTTGTAAAGAGTTGTCTAGACATGAGAATGGGAAAAGGAGTAAATGATAAGAGTTGTCTGTATTTTTTGAAAATTACCGAGTCTGTCACAATCCTATTTTATTTCTTTTCTGTTTTTCTTTTTCAGCTTTACCAATCACAATCACATTTGGGAAGAGTACTCAGTTAATTGCTCCATTGGTCCTTAAATTTAAAATCCACCGGGTATCTTCTTAAGTAAAAAGGTTCTCCATACAGAGCTCCATCCGGGTTAAGCAGCCGTATGCTCGGGACACAACTAGAATGAAGACTGCGTTCACGAACTAAAAAGTTTTGGGTGAAATTTCTTGTTTGGATTGTGATTTTCTTCCGTAAACATATTTTTCAACCGCTTTTTACATTACATACGTCAAATCACATATAGTACATTTTTCTACAAAAAAATTCTAAAAATAGCAATCTAAACAGGGCATTTCCAAAATCTTGAAGGATTTTTAGAGGTAACTATATGTGAAACAAAACATATATATGTATGCGGGGGCTCAATTTTGAAGAACTCTAGGTTTAGAACCAAAGTAAAACCCAATTTAGTGTCTCAATCACCAAATATGTTAAGGTCAAAGAATTGAGTAAATTTGTTAAAAAAAGAACTTATTTCTTATGCAATCAAATGATCAATTAACCCCTAAATTTCATCCCCCCCCCCCCCCCCAAAAAAAAAAAAAGAAGGAGGACCCGGAGAGAATAATTACAGCACACAATTCCACCCTCATCTCAGATTGCGAAGTAGCTTGATTTATAGGATCCTATCCATTGAATTTACTGCAAATATATGCAAAACCAAAGTGTTATTTCGGTCAACAATCCCTTTGGCTTTCGGTAATATTCCCACTTAAAATATTTGCGGCCAGTATTTCTTAATCCAAATGCACCGTCACTTTAGTAGAAATCATTGGTGTCTCAAGTGAGCTACTTGCACTCGCAGAGCACACCGAAACTTCAATTTTAGGTGGATTTTTTGCTCTTTGAACTAAAGTTTTTCCAGATATGGCATCCTCCAAAAAAAAAAATTTGTTTTTTGCCAGATATGGTCAATTTTTTGGCTTTAACCACATCTAATCTGTCTACCATATTTTGTTTTGATCATAATTTGTTTACAACATATATGTTCATTTTAAACGTTCACATATGATAATGTTATTTAGCATAATTATTGATGGATCCAACAATATTTAATCAGCTAAACTAGTTGTTCTGGCTTTGAATAACAAAGGTAAACTGCAA